AATCATGTTGGGAGTCTGGCTCTCGAGATTCGGAGGGCGGTGCCTCTTCGATTTTGGAGCAAGCAATCTTGTTGGGAGTGTTGTCTCGAATGTGAGTAAAGGTTGGGCATGTTTGCTAGTCTACCTTGCCACGAAGCACAAAGGTTGACACACAGGGACTTTCCAATTATCCAGCAATGGTACTGTTCCTTTACCCTCTCTTCGATTTTGAGAAAGTAGTCATGTTGGGAGTCTGGCTCTCGAGATTCGGAGGACGGTGCCTCTTCGATTTTGGAGCAAGCAATCTTATTGGGAGTGTTTTCTCGAATGTGAGTAAAGGTTGGGCATGTTTGCTAGTCTACCTTGCCACGAAGCACAGAGGTTGACACACAGGGACTTTCCAATTATCCAGCAGTGGTACTGTTCCTTTACCCTTGTGGGTAATAATATGGTAGCTAGACCTTCAAAATTTATGTGTCTAAACTTTTGTTAGTGCTGTTTCTTTGCTATTCTTTTACCTTTCTTGGTCAGAGCGATGTAGTGGGAGCTGCAAGCTTCACGTGCTCAACTTTGGCAGAGAACTTTGGCAAAGTTATTTGTGGTACCCATGAGCTATTGTTGCGTGTGGGAAGTGGGTGATTGAACAGTAAGATTCATGTGCTTTCTACTTCACCAGAAGTCTTCGACAGAATGCCCATAATTTCTGCAAAGCTGAGTGTGCGTGTGACAGGTGCTGACAAGGCTAGAAAAGTAGGTGCCTCTTCGATTTCTGAGATCGGCCCTCGTGGTCTCTGAGCAGCCCAGCTTTTGAGAAAGCGAGCGCCTCTTCGATTGATTCGGAGAACGATGCCTCATCGATTTTTGAGAAAGCAATCATGCTGGGGGTCTGGCTCTCGAGATTCGGGGAGCAGTGTCTCTCTTCGATTTTTGAGAAAGTAATCATGTTGGGAGTCTGGCTCTCGAGATTCGGAGGGCGGTGCCTCTTCGATTTTGGAGCAAGCAATCTTGTTGGGAGTGTTTTCTCGAATGTGAGTAAAGGTTGGGCATGTTTGCTAGTCTACCTTGCCACGAAGCACAGAGGTTGACACACAGGGACTTTCCAATTATCCAGCAATGGTACTGTTCCTTTACCCTCTCTTCGATTTTTAAGAAAGTAGTCATGTTGGGAGTCTGGCTCTCGAGATTCGGAGGACGGTGCCTCTTCGATTTTGGAGCAAGCAATCTTATTGGGAGTGTTTTCTCGAATGTGAGTAAAGGTTGGGCATGTTTGCTAGTCTACCTTGCCACGAAGCACAGAGGTTGACACACAGGGACTTTCCAATTATCCAGCAGTGGTACTGTTCCTTTACCCTTGTGGGTAATAATATGGTAGCTAGACCTTCAAAATTTATGGGTCTAAACTTTGTTAGTGCTGTTTCTTTGCTATTCTTTTACCCTTCTTGGTCAGAGCGATGTAGTGGGAGCTGCAAGCTTCACGTGCTCAACTTTGGCAGAGAACTTTGGCAAAGTTATCTGTGGTACCCATGAGCTATTGTTGCGTGTGGGAAGTGGGTGATTGAACAGTAAGATTCATGTGTTTTCTACTTCCCCAGAAGTCTTTGACAGAATGCCCATAATTTCCGCAAAAGCTGAGTGTGCGTGTGACAGGTGCTGACAAGGCTGGAAAAGGCTGGAAAAGTAGGTGCCTCTTCGATTTCTGAGATCGGCCCTCGTGGTCTCTGGGGAGCCCAGCTTTTGAGAAAGCGAGCGCCTCTTCGATTTTTGAGATCGGCCTTCGTGGTCTTTGAGCAGCCCAACTTTTGAGAAAGCAAACGCCTCTTCGATTTCTGAGATCAACCCTCGTGATCTCTAAGCAGCCCAGCTTTTGAGAAAGCAAACGCCTCTTCGATTTCTGAGCAGGCGCCTCTTCGATTTCTGAAGCTTCGTCGAGTGCAGATTTTTATAGGGGCTGGCATTAAGTTCCAAAGCACACTTGAATCTCCACCAGTAGAAGCTTCATTCTTGCACTTCTAAGATCTTGATTTGTCCGACCTCTTCTCTCTTCAACACCTTTGAAAATGTCTGGCCCCTCCGACCGTCGTTTTGACTTGAACCTTGTTGAAGAGGCAGCCCCGCCTTCTCCAGACAACATATGGCGCCCATCCTTCGTCTCCCCTACTGGTCCTCTTACCGTTGGGGATTCCGTGATGAAGAATGATATGACCGCTGCGGTGGTGGCCAGGAACCTTCTCACTCCCAAAGATAACAGACTACTTTCCAAACGGTCTGATGAGTTAGCTGTTAAGGATTCGCTGGCTCTCAGTGTTCAGTGTGCAGGTTCTGTGTCTAATATGGCCCAACGCCTATTTGCTCGAACCCGCCAAGTTGAATCATTGGCGGCTGAAGTGATGAGTCTCAAACAGGAGATTAGAGGGCTCAAGCATGAGAATAAACAGTTGCACCGGCTCGCACATGACTATGCTACAAACATGAAGAGGAAGCTTGACCAGATGAAGGAAACTGATGGTCAGGTTTTACTTGATCATCAGAGATTTGTGGGTTTGTTCCAAAGGCATTTATTGCCTTCGTCTTCTGGGGCTGTACCGCGTAATGAAGCTCCAAATGATCAACCTCTGATGCCTCCTCCTTCTAGGGTTCTGTCCAGTACTGAGGCTCCAAATGATCCCCCTCCGGTGCCTTCTCTTTCTGGGGCTCTACCGACTGCTGAGACTTCTCCTAAGCAACCTTTGTGAAGGCTCCCTCTTGTGTGCTTATTTTGACTCATGTATATGTACATATTTGTAGCTTATCGGGGATATCAATAAATAAGCTTTCCTTCATTTCAACGTATTGTGTTAAATACACCAAAGCCTTCTTCGCTAAGTTCTTTGAATTTTCTTTTGTTAAAGCTTGTATGTTGAAGCTTTCTGAGTGGAGCATGTAGGTTGGGGTAGTGTGTTCCCTTAATTTCCCGAGTGAGGAAAACTTCTCGGTTGGAGACTTGGAAAATCCAAGTCACTGAGTGGGATCGGCTATATGAATCTTAGAACGCCATTGTGCTCGATCCTGTGTCATGTCCTTCGTTAGATCCAAGTACTCTAAGTCTTTTCTTAGAGTCTCTTCCAAAGTTTTCCTAGGTCTTCCTCTACCCCTTCGGCCCTGAACCTCTGTCCCATAGTCGCATCTTCTAATCGGAACGTCAGTAGGCCTTCTTTGCACATGTCCAAACCACCGTAACCGATTTTCTCTCATCTTTCCTTCAATTTCGGCTACTCCTACTTTACCCCGGATATCCTCATTCCTAATCTTATCCTTTCTCGTGTGCCCACACATCCAACGAAGCATCCTCATCTCCGCTACACCCATTTTGTGTACGTGTTGATGTTTCACCGCCCAACATTCTGTGCCATACAGCATCGCCGGCCTTATTGCCGTCCTATAAAATTTTCCCTTGAGCTTCAGTGGCATACGGCGGTCACACAACACGCCGGATGCACTCTTCCACTTCATCCATCCAGCTTGTATTCTATGGTTGAGATCTCCATCTAATTCTCCGTTCTTTTGCAAGATAGATCCTAGGTAACGAAAACGGTCGCTCTTTGGTATTTCTTGATCTCCGATCCTCACCCCTAACTCGTTTTGGCCTCCATTTGCACTGAACTTGCACTCCATATATTCTGTCTTTGATCGGCTTAGGCGAAGACCTTTAGATTCCAACACTTCTCTCCAAAGGTTAAGCTTTGCATTTACCCCTTCCTGAGTTTCATCTATCAACACTATATCGTCTGCGAAAAGCATACACCAAGGAATATCATCTTGAATATGTCCTGTTAACTCATCCATTACCAACGCAAAAAAGGTAAGGACTTAAGGATGAGCCTTGATGTAATCCTACAGTTATGGGAAAGCTTTCGGTTTGTCCTTCATGAGTTCTTACGGCAGTCTTTGCTCCTTCATACATATCCTTTATAGCTTGGATATATGCTACTCGTACTCCTTTCTTCTCTAAAATCCTCCAAAGAATGTCTCTTGGGACCCTATCATACGCTTTTTCCAAATCTATAAAGACCATGTGTAAATCCTTTTTCCCATCTCTATATCTTTCCATCAATCTTCGTAAGAGATAGATTGCCTCCATGGTTGAGCGCCCTGGCATGAACCCGAATTGGTTGTCCGAAACCCGTGTCTCTTGCCTCAATCTATGCTCAATGACTCTCTCCCAGAGCTTCATTGTATGACTCATTAGCTTAATACCCCTATAGTTCATGCAATTTTGTACTCGCCCTTATTCTTGTAGATAGGCACCAAAGTGCTCATTCGCCACTCATTTGGCATCTTCTTCGTTTTCAAAATCCTATTGAAAAGGTCAGTGAGCCATGTTATACCTGTCTCTCCCAAAAGTTTCCACACTTCGATTGGTATATCGTCTGGGCCTATTGCTTTTTTATGCTTCATCTTCTTCAAAGCTACAACCACTTCTTCCTTCCGGATTCGACGATAAAAAAGAGTAGTTTCTACACTCTTCTGAGTTACTCAACTCCCCTAAAGAAGCACTCATTTCATGTCCTTCATTGAAAAGATTATGAAAATAACCTCTCCATCTGTCTTTAACCGCGTTCTCTGTAGCAAGAACCTTTCCATCCTCATCCTTGATGCACCTCACTTGGTTTAGGTCCCTTGTCTTCTTTTCCCTTGCTCTAGATAGTTTATAGATATCCAACTCTCTCCTTCTTTGGTATCTAGTCGTTTATACATATCGTCGTAAGCCGCTAACTTAGCTTCTCTGACAGCTTTCTTCGCCTCTTGCTTCGCTTTTCTATACCTTTCACCATTTTCATAAGTCCTCTCCTTGTATAAGGCTTTACAACATTCCTTCTTAGCCTTCACCTTTGTTTGTACCTCCTCATTCCACCACCAAGATTCCTTTTGGTGTGGGGCAAAGCCCTTGGACTCTCCTAATACCTCTTTTGCTACTTTTCGGATACAACTAGCCATGGAATCCCACATTTGGCTAGCTTCCCCCTCTCTATCCCACACACATTGGGTGATTACCTTCTCTTTGAAAATGGCTTGTTTTTCTTCTTTTAGATTCTCTTTGAAAAAAGAATGCTGTGAAAAAATATATCCTATCATCAAATTTTCATTTCCAGGATATGATGTAAAAACGAGTCACTGAAATAAACAACCAATAATTTCATGTACATTTTTCAACAAATTAACCAAACAAAGTGTGCATAATCTTATTTGTGCATGATCTTGATTAGGGTACTCACTACGCATCATCTCTCCTCCAATACGATCAAAGATATTTGCAATCAAGTCCTCATAATCATCTCATTCATCTGTTGTTCTTAGCCCTGTCTCGATCTCATCTGCAACAGAGGCCGCAGCAGCAGCAGCAGGATCAGGCAGGAGATCAAACTCTCCAATCAAGGCCTCCAAATCAAATCTCAAAGATCATACATTTCTCTCACTGCCTCTCTATCTGACCCTGCAGTGCAGCAGGGCAGACGCCTAACAAACTGCAAAACCACAATCAACACTTTGAAGAACTCTTCAAAATGAGGGTAATTTTAATACCCTCCACCACTTCATACTGAAAAGTGCATACATATAAAACATGAAACAACAAATATGCCACAATTTGAAGCATGAAAAGGCAAGCATACCTTCCCTGCAGATAATATACTATCGAAGGGAGGAACAGAAAAAGGTAGGTGCATTGGCCCTCCTTGGAATATATACGTCTTGACTGTACATAAATTTGAAGGTCAATAATGTCGAATAGGAAACTAAAATCACAACCTATGAGTGCGATGTTCACCATCATGGTGTACTCTCTTAATACCTGACGTGTAAAACAGGAAATTGATGGCCCCTTGCAAATTTTGAATATTTAGATCATTTATATTACTTATTTATCTTTGTGTGTCTCTATGCATGCCAAACACATCAGAAATGCAGTTGAAGGCATTTCTTTCAAATGATCAAAATGACAGTCAAATATGGGCTGTGAGGATTGTCATGCTCTCACAAATGCGACATACATAATATCAGAAACATGGACAGCTACTGAAACTGAAAACCTAAGAGACAGTAGCTTCAAAAACTAGTCCTACATGATGAAGAAATCTACACCAAAAGAACTGCAAGTACACAGGAAACAGCATGTGAGCTCCGCATCCTACCTCGTACTTAAAGAGATGCAATTTGTAAAGAAAGAATAAAGTGCTTCAATTTTTTAGAATCACGACCATCCTGTTGAGCAGAGAAATTAAAGAACTCATAGGGAATCGACGTGAAAACGAAGTGCCGGTTGTCAACTACCTGACGCCCTCCCCCTCCTCCTTTATCCGGGCTTGGGACCGGCAGCGTAAGATAAACTTACACAGGCGGAGTTAGAAAATCAAAGAACAGTAAAAAGAAAATCAGTTATGGACAAGATGTCAAGACCAATAGAACTGTAAAAGCAAAACAGTCCAAAACCACAACTGAGGACAACAGCGAGAAACTTGCATTGCTGGTCCAAAACAGAAAGTGACACATCTAATATAGACTAAGGTATGAATACTAAAAATTAAAGAGAGAAAACTTACATTCCACAAAAAATCCATAAAAACAGTGGCAAGAAACATGATAATTGTCCTTATCGTCAACAAAACTATCAACACGTTCACAAACTGACACAGAACACTTAACACACCATGTTACCATCAAAATTCAAGCACAATACACAGAACATGCACACGCTCACAAGCCACTTATGCAGAGGGAGTAATTCAAAGGAAAAGAAAACATTAATTTGGTTTTCAAATTTAGTATAGTAATTAAAATCATCAACCTTGAAACCTTCTGTCAATAAAAATAAAAAGAAAGTAAGAAACTTGGGTGGAAAAGGAATGTATTATAAAGCATTCAGTGCATTAAAATTGGAAACGATCCTAGAAGCTCATACATAGACATGACTGGGGGAAACGCAGTAGAGACCTGAGGTGCGGCAAAATGAAAGGCAGGCAATGGATCAGTACGGCAGAGAAGAAGGCCCAGGTAAACACCTATACCAAATTTCTTAATTAACTAATGAACCAAAAGAAATCAAAGCATATATACTAAGAACGGAAATAAAATATATCCTGATCATAACTGTGCTTCTATATGCACGCCATGGAAATTAGACAGCTGCTGTCACCTCTAAGTCCCTCTATTGATCATTCACAGAATCGCTCATCCACAAACAGTCTGTCCAGTAATTAAACCCGTCTAACGGTTGGCTGAATTCATCAATTTGAGGCCACTCCTGGGGCAATTTACCTTCAAGCGTTGTCAAACATTCTTTAATGTCTCCACGCACTGCTTCACCATCTAAAAGATATTCCTCGCCGCCCAAGAATACCGGAGAAGAAGGAACATCACTCATCAGTGGCACATATTCATGATCTGAAATATGAGTGCGAATGGGCATCACATTTCCGTTAATGTAGCTTATGCACCCCAGGTCGTGATTGCTAGTCTCGCCGTCCAAGCATATGGGATAAGAAGGAACATCACTCATCAATATCACACTATCCTGATCAGAGAAATCAGTCGGCTTCGCATTGCCGTTAATGTTGGTTATGCACTCCTGATCCTGATACCTAGTGTCAGTAATCATATTGCTTTCAGTTCCAACAAAAGGCACAACAGCAGGGGTATTGGTGATCACATTCACATTTGAATGTTTTTGTGAACCCGGTTCTTTTCTTGCTCTCTTTCTCTTAATCAGAGGCTTCTCATTCGATACTTCTTTTCTTGCCCTCTTAATCGGTGGCTTCTCATTGAAGTCGTGAGTTGGACTTGAGGAATTCATCTTGTTTCCGCACCTAGACCTCAGATTCCTTTTAAGTCGGGAAAGAACGACCTTTGGGCCAGCAACTACATTAGGAAGAAGACTGTACTCTTCTAACAGCCAGCCGCCATTGTTGTTAGAACCCTTGTTGTTATACCTGAAATGCCCTTTATCCCCGATTGGAATTCCGTCCAAACCTAAAACTTTGTCGGAGGATGTTTAGCTCCAAGTGCCTCCGGCTTCGATCTGGCGTTTGCTGCGGCTATCGCTGTTGCTTCTAGAACGCAGCTCATAGAAGAAGAACCAGTCCTGATCGAGTAGGGAATTTCCACCGAATTGCTCCCAAACCACCCAGGGTGGTGTTTGTCCAAAGAGATTGAACTCGTGAACAAACGGGTTGCCCAAGGGCTTTCCGGAGAGGTCTCTATCGCGAAGATAGGAACTGACCAATTCTTGATCAGTAGGATGAAACCGAAAACCCAATGGCATACCGTAATAACCCACCTCCATTGTTAAACGCGATTTCAATTCAATGCAATTCAACACGAAACAAATGCAGCAGCAAAAACCCTAAATTTTTCTTGGGCACAAAATAAAGAAGAGAAAATAAGCGAGAAATTAAAGAGAAGAAAAAGGGATACCTGGAAGCCGATTTCGCTCGCTCGCCGAGGAGAGCAGCTCGTCGACGTCTCCTCAACCGCCGTCTTCGTCCCCATACAAGAGCAACTGAAGAGGAATCGATTTCAAGTATTCTGTAATTCAATTCAACCGGAGACTGCTGGAGCACTGAATTCTAATTCTGGTTCAAATTCGAACGCGCAGAGAGAGCGAGAGAGAGAACGCACAGAGAGAGCGAGAGAGAAAGATCTTGAGAGAGAGATCTAGTGAGAGAGAGAGAGAGAGAGAGAGAGGATTTGAAATTTAAATGGAAGAAATTATGACCGTTTGATTTGGGAATTGGATGTTAACGTTGCAAACTTGCAGGCTCACCGCTTAAGCGCGGGTTTTAATCACGTGGAATTTTCATATCTACGAAACCCTAAAATAACACAGGAAAAAAAAAATCGATTGGGCTGGGTTTCCTTTTTTACTTCTTGGCCCATTTTTTTTCCTGCTGGGTCCAGTTCTTTTGCTTATCGAATGAGGATCCTCTTTGGATTCTCTTTGTGAGGATGTTGGGGATCCTCAAATAGTGTCCGTTCATCGTACATCATACGGTCAGTTTTTGTCAGATATTATTCATATTTAATTTGAAATAAAATTATTTAAAATAATTTATGGCCGTACGATATACGATGAACGGACATGATTTATGGATCCTCAGGATCCACACTCTTAGTTATCAGGCATTTTATTGTCAATTTTTTTAGATTTTTATATTAGATTAATGAACCCAAACATTTAAGGGTGAATGTTGGATTGAAAGGTTCGGTTTCAACACGAAAAAGATTTATTTCTTATTTTTATTCACATCGATGCACTAGGGTCATAGAAATTGCTCAACATGGATATGTTTTGCAATAGGAAATCGTGACTATGACTTAGACATGGGAAATCATAGGAAATCACGATTTTTTTAATTTCCTATGTCCAAGCCACAATCACGATTTCCTATGATTGACACGATAAGCCATAATCACGATGTTCACATAGCGTTGCATATTCATTTTTCATAGGAGTAACAAGATTTTCTCCCAACTCTAATACACCTTTATGTTCTTCCTGTCCAAAATTATGTTGGAGAAGATTTCATAAGAAACACGTCCTGAATCAGTCATTAGCAGATTGATTATTCATGAAACGAAACGTAGAGGTCGAAACAAACAGTGATAAACTGAGTACTACTGTTTGCGACACGACAACGTCTGAAAATTGAAACGAAGACTCAAAGTGTGCTGAAAGAAATGACGAAAACAAAAGTAAGTGCAATTGGAAGTATTGGGAACTTCATGAATGTACATTGTCTACAGATTTCCTGAAGATTGACAAAAGTACAAAGTAAGACCACCAGCTAGACGAAATAACAGACTAAAAACTATTCTATTCACAACAACAATAACAACAACAAAACCTTTTCCTACTAAGTGGGGTCGGCTATGAATCCTAAAACGTCATTGCGCTCAATTCTGTATCACATCTTCCGTGAAATAAAAAGACTGAAAACTAATAAACTAAGTATGATTAAACCGGAAGTCGGAAAGAAAAAGTTGAAAGGTAACCGTGCTCATCTAAATTATTGAACTGTACTAGTGGTATAAAAACAAGAGCTGACACTAATAGCTTGAAACTTGATTCACACAAGGCGTGTATACTCCGGGTAAAGTCCTCTTCCTCCTGCTCCGCTTCTAGATGATGATGATGATGGTGAGCAAGCAAATCAAGAGAAAATGGAGAACCGAGGCCCATGCATTCAATTTTTAATAATTATTTTGTCCATGCATTCAATTTTTTTATAATTTTTTATTGTGTTGTGCGCCAGAAACCATGTAGCCTGATTTAAGTCATATTTTTTAAATAAATTTTTGTTAGTTTTTTAATTAATTATTTTATCTTTCTTTGTGCCACAACTCGACGGTCATAGACACACAACATGGGCAATACAGGTATTTTACTGTGTGAAGCAGGCAGCAAAACGGTAATGGAACGAAAAAATCAGGGGCATTTTCGCCCTTTTACTATTTCATATTAAGATACATGAATGATTTAATAATATATATTTATATGGGATGTATTTAACAATATGTAGGTACTAATAAAAAAACCTTTACCATTACCATCGTCAATCTTCAAACATAGTTCTGTGGTCCAATTAGAGTTCCATGTTTACTATTCTACAAATCAGGACATGGAGTTAGCGTGGTCATATTGAAGACTAATAATATTCAAAAATTCCAATCGTCAACTCCACGCTTGTCGGGAAGACTAATAATGTTCTCTAGAGATGACTTGAGGGTTATGCTCAAGAGAATGAATATGATGCTGGCTTTGATGGAAATTAAAATTAAAACTATCAAACTCTTGTTCCAAGGCTCTAATTAATTTTTCATGATCTAACCTCATGCTTGGCTGCTTTATCTGGATATTCCAAAAATTATCTAAGAGAACCTGTTGCCTATCAGAAAACCCTGGTGCTCTTAACCTATATCTCAGGATTGGATTTCTAATTCCTTCAACAATATTGCCATTAAAGTTGAAAGTAGGTACTGGTGGTGATCCTGGTCTGCTTATGCTACTTTGAAATCCACTGAATGGTGGAGGTTGATGGTGCATCATTATGCTATTGAAAGAAGCTCTTCTGCCTTGCGGCCTTGTGTTATTTGCTGATGATGATTCACGATATTTCATACATGTTCAACAAATTAATCCACTGAATGATGGAGGTTGATGGTGCATCATTATGCTTGTGATATTTATTTCTAGGAAACAAATAGAAAACGAAGAGCGGAAAGGATGACGATGACGCAGAACCTACCTCTTCCTTCTTCAATCTGTGTGTGGTTTCCTTTCACTAAATCTCACACCCACCGACAACAACCCATCTCAATCTGATCCAAACACCAATGCCAACCAACCACTGCCATACTTTAAAAATGAATAAAATACCCACCCCTTGGATTTGATTGGAAAATAGGCAATAGAGTAATTTGCCCGTGTTAAACCCAAGCCCAGCTTACACCCCACAACCCACTTCGGCAAAATATGACAATACAAAAATCCAAATGACACAGGATTTATACTGGTTCGGCGTAAGCCTACGTCCAGTTCCGAGACGGCGAGAAAATTCCACTAATATCAAAAGGAGATTACAAATTGATGTTTTAACTCTCAAACCCAAAGCCCACATACACCCAATAGCTCTCACTCTCACAAAGAAACAAATGGAGAAGATAGAAACATATACCAAATTCCTCCTCTCCCAAAAGCCACAAAATGTAGCACAAATATCTTTGATTGAGTGATCACTAACAAAGGGGGATTACAAACAAATGGGAAGGAGCAGCACTGTTTCAAATGGGAGAGTCGAATGCTCTCTCCTCTGCTCTACTTGCTCTCTTCAGAAAATGAGTTCACACCTTTCCTTTAAATAAAAATCAGCCCCTTTTCTTCTCCTCCTTTCTTCCAGCCGAAAACCAACTAATTATGGCTTTGAAAAAACCACAAAACACGGAACAAAACAAGCCACAAAACAAGGAACAAAACAAGCCACAAAACAAGGAAACATAATCCTCATCATGATGTTCCCTCATCAATTTTCTTTCATTCTTTTGTTTTGTTTCCTAGCCTAATTTGGCCACTATCCAACATATGGAACTACACGTCGAAGTAGATTTGATCTTCCAGGCATTCTTAAACTTTTCCGCTATGTCGAATATAGGTTTGTGCCTTTCCTCTCTAAATCTGCAACAGCCAGAACTGCTTTCACATTCACACTACAGCACAATAGAAGACACTTCGACACGACAATCTGTTAAATTAGCAAATGGGGAAGTGGTGGAATAACACCGTAGTATTGTGAGCAAGTCTCGGGTGTCAAGGCCACGGGGGACGTCCCTGTGGCTTTTCAACAAATTAACCAAACAATGTTGTAAAAACTGACTTTGAGAGTGAGGAACAGTAAAAGGTAGGTGCTTTGGCCCTCCTCCACGCATCATATACCGACGAAAAGAGTACATGTTGTCTATAGATTTCCTCAGGATTGACAAAAATACAGAAGAAAACCACCAGCTAGACAAAATTGACACAAGTCCTCGGCCTGCTCCGCTTCAAGATCATGACGATGATAATGATGATGGTGATGAGCAGTTGTCATCAGGTGCAGCAGGTTGTTGTGCATGATCTTGGTTAGGGTACTCACTACGCATCATCTCTCCTCCAATATGATCAAAGATATTCGCAATCAAGTCCTCATAATCATCTCATTCAACTGTTGTTCTTTGCCCCGTCTCGATCTCATCTGCAACAGAGGCCGCAGCAGCAGCAGCAGGATCAGACAGGAGATCAAACTCTCCCATCAAGGCTTCCAAATTGAATCTCAAAAGATCATCATCATCTTTTCTCTCACTGCCTCTCTATCTGACCCTGCAGTGCAGCAGGGCAGACGCCTAACAAACTGCAAAACCACAATCAACACTTTGAAGAACTCTTCAAAATGAGATAATTTTAATACAGTCCACCACTTCAAACCAAAAAGTGCATACATAGACAAGATGAA